GAGGGAGGGATGCGAGTTTCCTCTCACTGCCAGGACGAATGCGCGGATAAATAGTGCCCTCTGAGAGGGGGAACAGTGAAGCGGCTGTCGGCTCTCTGGCTCAGCGCGGTGTGTGCCTGCTGTCTGCACCGCGCTGACTAATACCAAACACTACAGCAGAGGATGACGCCATTTCTGTAGCTGACAGTCGGCGAGGAGAGGAGAACACCGCCGCACTAAACCCCGAAAACCGCGGGGACGACAGCCGAAATCCACCTGCCCCCCGCGCCGCAGCCATTTCTCCCTCGGAGCCCAGTCGCTTGTGTTTCTTAAAAAGCGGAAAACTGCCCACAGACGGTTCGTTTTCGTTTTCACTTCTCTGCGCACAGCTCCCCTGCAGAGGATACACTTGACAGCAAACGAATATATATGTATATCTATATAAATAAATAAAAATAAAGCGTTTAGAACTCTGCCTGTAGTCAGAGCGCTGCCATTAAAGCTTTTAGTGGAAGCGTCATGCCGAAGCCGTGTCGCAATAACAACGCTAAGTTGAACAAAGTGACACTCCGCCAGATAGAAAAGTCACTTTGCTTCCGTGCGAAACGCTCTCCTTGCGGACCGCTCTGACATTTCGCTGACTGTTCACGGAGTGGCTGGGAGTGAGGTCGCTTCTGACAAAGGAACAAGTCGACAAAAAAAACGGTTCGCAACAAGGTCAAGCTCGAGGAAGAGTCGCGTGCGCGTGGCTGCGGCGTCTCGTTAATTCCATCAACGTCTTTTTTTTTTGGTTTGTTGTTCATTGTTGTAAGAGGAGACAAGGTCGCAGCCCCTCGTTTGTGTCTCTTAGTGGCGCTGGACGATAGCGGAGCACACAATGTCATCCGCCCCAGACTGTTTTTGACAATAATGCAGCACCGCAGCCCGTCTCCGGCCGGGTCGCGGAACCCGCGGCAGGCTACGGCGTCGACTGCATTTAAGTCGTCTCCACTTAGCGAAACCCGTTTAGACAGTTCGGCAATTACGGAAACGAGCTCAAAAACCGGTCACGCACACATAACACTGAGCATATCCCAGGTTCTCTCGAGCAAAAGGGAAAACATTCCACATCAGACCTGCTTTTATAACCACCGCGGATCGAGCGGTGAGTTTTCTTGTGTGCAAGGTGGCCCATCTGGTCCAGCTTACGCCGGACAAGTCGATGGTGGGAAACGAATCAGACCGAAAGGCACAAAAGAATTGCCTGACATTGCAATTTACCTTTTAAACTACGGCGTTTGTTCGGTGGTCGACGAACCCCATCCCGCAGCGATGTCAAGCCTTAGCTAGTCGCCCATTGTTTCGGGTATTCTCACTTTTCACGCCCGTTAGAAAACACCGCGACGGGCGCTGCTCGACGACAACCTCCCCGAAGATTCCTCCGCTCAAAAGCACAACACTCCGGGGCTCTTCCAGCACACTTGAAACTGTTCAAGCTCGGGGGAGCATAACCGTTCGCAGCGCTCATCAGATAAATTCGGCTGGCTAAGGAAGAACTTTTCTTCAAATCAAGTTTTTCTGTATTCCCGTCAGGTCTTTTGTCGTGCAGTAACCTAATTCATTCATTCCCCCAAAGCCCTCTAAACACAACAAATCATTAGTTAACAAGTTAGCTAACGTCACGGTTGGCTTGGTAGCAGCGGGGAGGCATGCTAGTAAAAATGTTCAAATAGCGATTGGTTTGCCGAACAAAAGCAGGCTTACCTATGCTGTCAAGTTCAGAAACACTTCTGTTTTTCGACGAAAGTGTATTAGTAATCCATAGGAACATTTATATGAAAAATGATGACAGGTTTTAACGTCGTCCGTTGGATCCTAGTCGATGTTGGATGCGGATTGGTAAAGTGGTTTTTGCAGAGAGCTGCTGTTTGCCTTGTTGAGTAGCTCCTCTAGCCTAGCTCTTTCTGCGATCCTCCCCCCGCCTCCTGAGAGTGATTGACGGGTACAGTCATCCCGCCTTTCTTGGAAATACGCTCGTCTATTGGACAGTGCCCTAAAAAGACATTTGTCAGAGGAACGGGATTGGCTATTTTGGCTAGAAAAATATCTATAGTAAAAAGTACCGAGTAATCCTACTGGGTGGTTGTCACAATAAGGAGTGAAAAAAATCCGAAAAACTACAACCCCCAGTTATGGAGAACATTTGTGCGTTCGATATGTAATACTTAGTGGTCCGTCAATACGTCGTCTGCTGATTTCCCCATTCACCGAAAGGTCTGCAGTGTTTTCCGGGCAACGAAAAAATATCTGCAACACAATTATGTGAGATACCCCATTACGTTCCCTTGCTACTCCGCGCCTGCTCTGTAACGCAGTCGGAGCTTATATAGGTAGCTCATCATAACTGGCTCGTTGGACAGCGTCTGCACAGTACGCAACACAAACGACACTAGCCTAGCATAGCATGGAGTCAGTCAAGCAGCAACACACGGACTCGAAATGATTGGAAAGTGTAGATGAAACAGTCACATCGCTCGCCTTACTCGACCAGCGTGGAAGTGGGACATTCTATTTTGGAAAAGACATTAAAGAAATTGTCAGCGGTGATATACCGATGAGTTTATGTTAGCCCGCTAACGCTAACTAACTAGCAGTCTGGCTAACCGGAATTCGGGACCGGCTAGTCAGCAGACTGACACGACACAACAACCAAGGTGGGTGGGGTTAAGAGCAGGCCAAGAGTCACAGCAGCATCCATGTGTAATGTTTGGCTCCTTAAAAATACTGTCTTCTTTTTTTTTTAATTGAATGAATGCTGAATGCCTAGGTTAAATGACTGTAAAAAGAGCCGTTATTAAAAATGACCCTGTAGTACCTTTTTGGTTGAATCTTGAGTAGTTTGAGGTTGAGTGCAAAGGATGCAAGTGAACACGAGTTTAGGCTGTTTACTCACAAAGAACCTAGTTCATGCATTTAGTAAAACCCACTCTTGACATTTTTTATTTGCCAGATAAAACGACTGTGTAGATCAGTGTAATATTCACTTTTATGTTATACAGAAGACAAAGTTTGACTTTTTATGGGATTATTAAGTTCATCATGATTTTCATTGGATGTGTGTGATATATTTAGCCATATTTGGGATTTCATAGCTCTGCCCTGGGGCAAAGCTCTATTGAGACGCTCTCATTATTCTAACCACATTTAGAATATGTGGTATTCTACCTGCTCCCCTTGGCTTCTCCTGGAGAATGTGCTCTGTCCTGTCCTTTCCCTTTTTTGTTTCACTTAGTCCTGGCAGTTCATTCAGCTCCCCCGTCTCCCGCACATCCATCTTACATCTAGGACCTAACAAAATATGGCCTCTGTATAACTTTCATTTGCAACATTATTGTGGTTTATTGTGTGCTGCTTTGCTGTTTGAAAACACCACAGTGAACGTGGGTTCAAGCAGAAGTTACCATTATAGCCGTTTCCCTGCCAACCTTCCCATCCGTCTCCCCTATTTCCTGCTGTCCTCTCCTCTCCCTCTCTGTCTTCCTCCTCCAAAAGGCAGACTTAAAAACCTGCAAGGGAGGTTTTGTATGCGGTTGTTAATGTGAAGCATGAAGATAGTTTTGGACGGAGCAACTGTCACATTAGAGAGTAAACAAGTCAAGCACGGACATCATCCCCAGAAATACCTAGCAGGCTCACCTTTTCACACTCTTCATCAGACTACACATTCAGCAAAAGCCCATTTATATTAAATACTTATCTGGAGTAATACACTGGCAATGATAAGATTGCCACATCATCAAATTACACTAAACTGAGTTCACATTTTGGTGATATGGGTGTGCGCAGTACTGCTGAGTAAACGCGAGTTTCTGAGGCTGAGCTGTTCATAATGGGATTTGTGCATCTGCAGCAAAGAATATGAAAGGGTCTAACTGTGTGGTTATTACATTTGAGGTTGTGGGGAAAAGTGCAGCTTTGCACATCCTGAGAATGCAGGTGTTCAGTGGTTCTGCTCCACTATTATAGTCACTGTGATGCTCCTCAGAACAAAGGCAGGAAAATTCAGTAGCTTGTTGTTATCTGGTCCCCAAGTCTGCCTGGAGGCTCCAGGTTCTGTACTGAGAAGCGTGAAAGGACTCCAGATGAACACAGCCAGCATCACAAACCTGATGCTTTACTCACCTCCTACTCCAGTGAAACAGAGCAAGAATTGTTGAGATTTTTACAAATTTAGCTATCATTTAATTAAAATATTATCTAATTATTAATACTCTTAGAGGATGAGCTTTGCTGATATTCTTGAAACTGCTTCGTTACATCACTTATACTCTTTCACGTTTTTTTTCCAAAGGAATGAAAACACGAGTAAATAGTAGGACAAAGCGTCCTGGTTCTCACCTGATTATCTCAGCTCAGGAAACATAACCACCGGAGTTGTGTCCTTTAGTGAACAAAAGCTTGTTAAATGTTTTCAAAGCATTGTAAATCAATCAAAAACCAGTAATGTCATTACAGAACAAATACTTTTTTCTGTTTTATTTTTCATTCCTGCTGTAGAACTTGCGACCCGGTAACTCATTTCTCACAGCTCTTTGATTGGGAATTCCTGGCACACACAAGATGAAACGACAGAAAGTGAAATCTTATTGCTTCTGAACCGCATCTCGTTAACTTGATGAATTGCTTTACGGAAAAGAGGACTCAATATTCAGCTCTGTTGCTGTTTTTGAAGAGAAGAGGCCGCTGCGATTTCACACTGTGACATGATGCACATGTTCCCAGATGCTAAATCAGAAGCTGTCAGGTTCCACTCATCGCTCCATTCAGTATTTACTGTAGAGTGTTGTAGTGAATAATGCTGCATATCAATCAAAGGCCTGAAGTAAAACATGCTATGAATGAGGGGGTAATTGATTGCACCATCTCCTTCCGGCCCCCTAATTCCCCGTTGGAGCTTATTAAATGTCCAAACAGTAACATTTTGTGGAAATCCGTCACTTTAAAAAGTTCCTTACTCATATTCTGTGCTCCCTGTTTTCCAGCGGAGCCCTGAGTAAACTTGAAGCCATGGACAGTGCCTGTGAAGAAGCCTCAGACCGAATCTTGCTGGAACCGTACAAGTACTTGTTGCAGCTGCCAGGTGAGTGTTCTTCCCGCTCAGTGGCTGCCTGGTTTGGGAAGACAGGGGGACGCACTGCTGAAGACGCCCGCCCTGCTTGTGGGGGCGCCACGGGATCACTGATATCTGAACAGTGTGCTTCAGATATCATCTCATTTCCTCCGAGTGCCACCGTGCCCTGATCTGGCTGATAGTTTATAAGAAATCTGCGTCCTCTGGCTCATCTTGGTGCTTTGGAGGGGCTTTTGAGAGGCTTCTTTTAATCTGTTTGGCTCAGAGCAACACGTTAACATACATTTTTGTTAACGCCTTTTTTGTTTTGTCTGAGTGAAACCATGTATTCTTACTGGTTTCATGTAAATGTCGGGGGCCTCCTGCACACGTCTGTGAGAGTCTGTCACAATGTGCTTTTGATGTTTTCAAAAATAAAAGGGAAAATGGATACATGAAGCTTCATAAAATGCTTCAATAAAAGTGTTATAAATAAGTATTTCTTTGTGATGACGACACATTTAAAGACACCTAACTGAGCTAATGTTACCATTGAATATGGGAAGCACGGACAGCACACCTCATGTTGAGCATTACCAGAGCTGATCTGGGTAATGTCCTTCATTTAGTTATGAGGACCACTTAGGGATGAGTTCAGGTGTTATTAAAATGGAACGGTTTGGCATTTTCAGGATGTTTCCCACTCAGCAGACTCATAAAAAAGTTGTTCCTGTTTAGACATGAGCTGTGTATTATTAACGCCTTCACCAGTCTGCCAGTACAGCGTGAAGGCAGTGGAAGGGAACAGCTAAAAATACACCCTTTTTTCCATGTAAAAGCTTTCTGAAAAGGATCTAACCGCTCTACTACAACAGCATAGCTGTTATGGCCCTGAAGTACACTCTGCTGCCGTTTGTTTTGATGAGACGCTTCAGCACCGGGCACGGCTCAAAGACCTCTGGAGTTCCAGTTTTCTAATAACGCGTTGGCTTTGCTGTGAAGAGCCATAACAAGCTCGCAAGAATGAAGCGCTGGGTCACCCGAAGCAGAGGGTGGAAGCAGCCGAAAACGGTGATGTGGTCGGACGCAGAGCAGAGGCTTGCTGCTGCTGTTTGTGTTCTTTTGGCTCAGATGCTTACAAAGACTCAGTGATGCAGTGAAGTTGAAACAGCTTGTGGGCGCGCTGTGATGAACAGGCACCAGGGAGTTCGTTCAGACAGGACCCCCGCGCCAAACGTCCTCCGTGCACCGGGGAGAGGCAGCGCCTGTGAAAAGAGTGACAGTGCTTTAAGATCAGTCTAGTTTTTAAGGTTTCTGTCAGACCTTTCTGAGTAACACATAACAACTGGTACCCAGATGCGATGATCAGGGCTTTATCTGACAGCTTTTTCAACAACGCTGTCCCCCCTTAGGGTGTTCTCGTTTAGGGTTCATGTTAGGTGAAAACTCTGTTCAGGGCTTAAAGATTCATTATAAATAAGATCTGGGAGTTATAAATGAATGAGATTCAAATATGGCTGAAAAATTACGAGTGCTAAATCAACACCTTTTTTTCTTTTCTTTTTTTCCCCCTCCACAGGAAAGCAAGTACGGACAAAACTCTCCCAAGCGTTTAACCACTGGCTGAATGTTCCAGAAGACAAACTGCAGGTGAGAGCTCCCCTGAACGTCCAGGTCGCCTGGAGTTCACCGCACCTCTGCTGTAGAGGATCCAGGAGTTTTTAAAGGAGACTAAGAGCGATTACTCAATGAAAAAACAAGCCCCGTTCCCCTGTGGTAGTGTACCTGATTGGTCTCTAGCTTAGAGGAGGTGTCCCACTGTTTAAAGTTAGTAATTAACTGCTGCAGCACATACTCCGGTAAGATGGATGGAGCGAGTTAATCCTGTTTGGGGGATTTCAGGACGAAATACATTCAGGTCCAGTTGGGCCTTTTATATGAAAACGACAAGAGAAAAAAAAAGAGAAGGCTGCTTTTTAAGTTGATGATCGTCTTCATGGGGAAACGCAGGAGCCAATCGCCAGGCAGCAGCTCAGGCAACCCTGCAGCTCCACCGCACAGTTCCAGTGTTGTAACAGAGCCCGGCATGTGGCTGATTAGACATACTGGATCACACACAGAGGGCCCATTGTTTGTGCCGTCAGATTCATTTCAAATTAGCCATTCAGGATTTATTGGAGAGCTCCAACTATTGACACTATACTGATAGCAGCTACGTTGTTGTCGCTCAATAACGGTCTTGTGTGCAGCGACAAAGTATTAGCTGGGCTAATCTTTGCTTTCAGATTTCTGTGGTCTTTACGCGCTGCAGAATGCTAAGCGGCCGGCCTGTCCGACCTCATCTTGTTTGCACTTCAACAGGTCTCCCTTTGTCCCTGAATGTTTTACAAAGCTTTCCCCAGACAGGAGCGGAGTCCTGCAGCAAAGACCAGAGGTCACGCGGCCGTCTCCTGTGGTCATTTCATTATCCAGCAGACAAAGGGAAGGCTTCCCCTCTCTGGCTGCTTGTTTGTCTGACAGAGAAACGGCCTCCCGTGTGCGCGGTGACGGGACACGGCTCACGTCCAACGTCAACGCGTTTGGGATCATTCTCACATTGTCTTTCCTGAAGTGCTGACATTTCAGGGCCAAGAGCTCACCTTCCCCCTGAACCTCAAGTGACATTTGACCCCAGAGCTCTGGGTTCGATCAGCCCCCGATGCTGATTGGCCGGCAGTTGCCGTGAGCTACATCCACGAGCGAGATCCCCGTCCACATCTGCCGCCCATCTCTGGTCAGTTCCCGTTCAGACTCCGGGTACAGCGTGTAGTTGTAGCTCCCGCTGAACCTGTCGCGCAGACAGAGAGAACTCCCCGCCGCTGTCGTTAGCCCGCCGCCATGGCAACGCGCGGGCTTTCAGATAGACGGGGGCAGCGGCTGTGTCGCTCTCAGTCATGCAGCAGTGTTTTCTTTTGCTTTTTTAAGAATCAATTCCCATGTTTGCAGACAGGCTTTAAACATGGCGCATATCTGTAGAGCAGCTCCGCTCCACGAGGGACGTGTCAGAGGAAGTAACCGCTTTTCTCAAGCAGAGACAGATTAAACCTCCAAAGCCTGTTGACCTTTCCGCGGTTTGAAAGCCACTATTTATTTATGATGCCATTAGAAAGCACTGAGCAGAAGTAATGGGTCTTGTCTTTTGTGTTGATACTAAACACATTTTCTTTTTTTTTGTTAATCTAATGTGTTCACTGCTGCTTTCACATGAATTAGAGATCCGCAGCATCAAAATAATCATGGTTAGTAGTTTAGACAAGGGGTGTCAAACCGTCCTCCATTGACATCCATGTGCCTTTAGCAGGCCTTTGCCTGTGCAAAGCTCAACCACGTTTGGAGGAGATGCAGTTTAATCCAAAGCAGGTGTGCAGGGGTGGGTAAATGCCTAAAAACTGCAGGGCGGCGGCCCTCCAGGACCGCAGGCTGACAGCCCTGCTTTAGATGGATTTCGCAGGGTATGTTGAGCTGACTCTGTGATCGGTCCAATCAACAGACAGCAGCACAAACCGAAAAATGCTCTTTTCCTTTGACTGCTGATGTCACAGAGCTGCTTCAGAGCCTTTGAGAAGCTCCATCGTCAGTCCCGCGGGAGTCTGTGTTGGGGCGGTTCTGAAGCCCGCGCAGTCCTCGCCGAGGCAGGTTCACGCCTGAACGGAACTGACTTGTCTCCGTCTGTCATCTCCCGTCGGGATCACTTGATGCATCTGCAGAGCTGACCGGTGACCATCGGCCAGGGCACGCACCACCAAATCAGAGGTGTTAATAATCGGCCCTCCCCCTGAGCCCGGGCGCCGCGGTCTGTCGCCGCTTAGACGCCATAGCTCTGCCTCCGCCGGTCCCCTCCTTAACGGAGCCCCACGGTCTGTGAGTCTGTCGTGCCCTGTGGGGTCAGCCGCTGCTGCCCGGCCTGGAATCGCTGCAGGCCCAGCGAGTGTCAGCTCCCCTCTGCAGCAAAGGCTGCGTTTGGCCAATCGACTGCTCAACCGACCCAGCCTTGGCCATCTGCCTGACCCTCTGAGTCTGTCTTTGTACTCCCAGGTCCCCCCACACAAACAGCTTTCATCAGCAGGCGACACCACTCGTCTTTTAAACCAGCCGAGCGCTCCAGCAGGCAGCGCCGCCAGCTCAGGGCAGCAGACCCCCGGCGGGGGCCTGAAGGGTCCATGTCAGATGTTGCGAAACACGCCGGGTGTCCCGATGGACAAAAGCAGGTTTCAGACTCCGTGAGGCGTTCTCCTTTCTTAGTGGAGCCGTGGCTTGGTGGCAGGTGCGTGTTTGTGAGAAAGCGAGTTGTGTTTGATCTGCCAGCCTTTCACTCTCCACAGCAGTGAAGGGCGTCATAGGAGTCATAATGCCTTAGAGCCGTGGGAGCCTGTCAGAAACAGAAAATGTTGAGGGAGCTACGCAGCATCTGTCATTGTGTCTTTAGAGAAAGTGAAAGTGCGCTGGGCGCTGCGATGAGACCTGCGATTGCCCACCATGTGGCCACACTTCAGCCGGTTCACCACACCTCTGGCGCTTCTGTCGTAGGCCTCCGCCTCCAAACAGACCTGGGCGACTGTCCCAGACTCAAAATGTGCTGAGCCCCTCAAACTAGCACGAGCATTTGGTCCAGGCAAGAATGTATACATGGCACCCTCTGCTGTAAACCTGCTGTAATGCATCATTTAAAGAAGCTCCATGAACGCCTCACTGTCTCCTTAAGTAGCCTCAGCTTAGAGGAAGGTTTTCAATAATATATCAATATATATATCCCTCTGCTCTCATTTCCAATCACACCTGTAATCGTTTACTTTCAGTGACAGTCTGTAAAAGGTTAATGACCCAAAATGTATTCCAGGTGATCATTGAGGTGACTGAGATGCTGCACAATGCCAGCCTGCTGATAGACGACATTGAGGACAGCTCCAAGCTGCGCCGCGGCTTCCCCGTGGCGCACAGCATCTACGGCATCCCCTCGGTCATCAACTCCGCCAACTACGTCTACTTCCTGGGGCTGGAGAAGGTGCTGACCCTGGAGCACCCCGAGGCGGTGCGCGTGTTCACCCGCCAGCTGCTGGAGCTGCACCGGGGTCAGGGCCTGGACATCCACTGGAGGGACACCTACACCTGCCCCACGGAGGAGGAGTACCGCCACATGGTGCTGCAGAAGACCGGGGGCCTTTTCGGCCTGGCCGTGGGGCTGATGCAGCTCTTCTCCGACTGGAAGCGGGACCTCAAACCCCTCCTGGACACGCTGGGCCTCTTCTTCCAGATCCGCGACGACTACGCCAACCTGAGCTCCCGCGAGTACAGCGAGAACAAGAGCTTCTGCGAGGACCTGACGGAGGGCAAGTTCTCCTTCCCCACCATTCACGCCATCTGGTCCCGTCCGGAGAGCACCCAGGTGCAGAACATTCTGCGGCAGCGCACGGAGAACATGGACATCAAGCGCTACTGCGTGGACTACCTGGAGAAGATCGGCTCGTTCGCGTACACCCGCCGAACGCTGCGGGACCTGGAGGCCGAGGCCTACCGGCTCATCGGGGAGCTGGGAGGGAACCCCCAGCTGGAGAGCCTGATCAAACACCTGAGCCAGATGCACCGAGACGCCGAGGCCAGCGCCGAGGCCAGCGGGGAGCCGCACCCCAGAGAGAAGCACTAACGGCCCCGTGCTCCCATCCTCAGCTCGACACACATTCCGACGGCGGGGCCCCCACCAGCGTGTCCCAAGCGCCACACAGCAGCCCCAAACGTTGCCTTTACTTCGACCTGTTCCAGACGGCGTCCCCAAGTTAGCCGCACACACCGGTCACTTTTGTGCCCGAAGTGTGGCGGCGCTGTCCACAGGAGAAGGTAGTTGAAATGGGTAATGAATTAAGGTTAAGGTTAATCAAAAAGCCTTCCTTCAGATCTGCATTGCAAACGCACAAATATGCATTTTCACCTGTTTCATTTTCATTTTGAGCGAATGTTTTTTTTTTTTTTTTTTCTAAAGATGCCATTTGAAAAGGTTTGTATGTGTCGCACATAAGAAGATCTGAGGATCTTTACTCAGTAAGTCACCGGAGTGCCCATCCTGTAGAGGAGCTTTGGAGCTGAAGGCAGCTCTGCAACACGCTGCCCTCGGCTGCATAACTGCTGTTGATACTTCCGCTTTACGGCGTCCCAAATCAGTACAGGTCTACACGCCTCTAATATTTTTATTAGCATCATAATCATATTTATTAGTAGTCACTGGAGAGGCTTAAGATCTTGTTTGAATTTATTGAATAAAAAAAGATTAAAATAAACTGAGCTTGATTTTTTATTTTGTGCCACAGCACCATCTACTGAGGACTGATGTGCACCCACAAACACTTGATCCTCTTCCCTCCCTAGAAGTCAGAAGCTCATAAAGTAGATGTGATGTATTACCTGGGATCCCACTCTTGATTGCTCTCATACGCTTTGAAACAATTGCACAACACACACCAGACTCAGCATTGCCTGTCATTATCCGTAAAAGAACATCTCATCATAGGAGCTTTTTTTTTTTTAAAGGCTCATCCCAGTTGGCACAGAGGAGCCTGCCATGCGCTTTAGAGAGGTGTGCTTTGCTGGGGGAGAGTTGAGAAGTGTTCTTGCTCCTCCAAATCCGTCATGATGTGCTGCGAGGCCCGGACGGCTGCTCTGACTCACTGCAGCCGCAATTCAATTCATTATGTGTCTATTTGGATTGAATTGTGCCTCCACTGAAAATACATTTATTCATCAAAACGTCAAGTTCTTGGAGCTAAAGCAGAGGGGGGGGGGGGGGC